GCTTTTGGTCTGCTGGCTGTGCGGTCGGGGGCGGTGGTCGTGCCCCCTACCTTGTAGGGAACTGGGAGAGGTGCCTAGAGATAAGCGCTTGTCGCTTCTGCACCAATCCGTGTAAATGTATGACTGTAAAAATGTTTTTATAAATAAAATATGAATCAATCAATCAATCAATCAATCAATAATGGTTAGATCACGAAAATGACCTGACCTCATATGACCTTAAGGAAAAATCCGAAATATACAAGTTGTGAGATTCGTAATCGATACTAGATCCTGCAAGGTTCATTTCCCTGTGAAAGCTCCTCTGGCAGTGAGGGCGTTGCGAAGTTGCGACATCTGAAGACCATGCAGAGGTTCACTTATGACGTGATAGGTCAGTGACCTGACCTGACCCGAAAATGCGGTTGGTGTCAAAAGATCCGACTTGAATCAAAGGTCAGGTATGCCAAGTTTCAGCTCTCTATCTCCAGCGTGTTCGGAGCTATCGCGAAAAAAACCCTATGGGGGGCGGCACCCGCCCCCCCCTCGGCTGAGGAGGGTTATCCTTCCAGGCGGTGGGGGAGGCATTTTTTTGCCCCCCTTTAGTTTTTTTCATTTTTTTACGCCGCCACCCATTAATAGGTGACCAGGAGTGCCCCCACCCTCGAACCCAGCGACACACAGTACCCTTACGTTAACACCAGAGAAAAAAAAAACAATGTCGCGGCACTCCCAGCTAAGAAATGGAAAAGAAATAAAAAGAAGACAAGAAGGGAGCGAGGATTTAGGTATGGTATAATCATAAGACAGAAAGTAGTCAATGAGCTCATAAGTCATTGACTGACCCCCCACTACAATCCCCAATAAAAAAGGTTAAAGTGATCATGGGAGACCCAGCCATGCAGATAATTTAACATTTATACAATTTTCTGAGTAATATGCAAAATATATGCATACATTATCTGGTCATTTTAGCAGTTTGCTATTGCTGGAGCCAAGTGAGATCCCGCAGCTAAGCAAAGCTTGTTGCCGCTCGGTCTCACCGGTTCCAGCGATGGTTATTGGGTGATATTTGATACCACAATAATACACGGCAGGACGTCAACACAAAACACTTACATGTAACACAACGATGTAAACAAACAGCATACATCAACGTACATTCGTAATGCAATAAGAGATGTAAGTAACATACATCAGCATACAACCATTATTACCATTATCAATGGTATTATCAGCAAGTGTGTACCTATGTATCACTGGTCATCGTACCTGGGGTACCTACAGTGAAAGAAGTGATAAAAAAGAGAAAAAGGTACTGTAACTGTACAGTGTACCTACTGTACCGTACTGTACTGTAAAAGAAAAAAAAGAGAGGAAAAATTAAGGCAGTTGAGTCTTTAGAATACAGAATACAGAAAATATATGTAAACAGACAAAAGGCATATATAAATTATGATATATGCACACATACACACATACATACATACATATCACACATATACACATTATATATATATATATATATATATATATATATATATATATATATATATATATATATATATATATATATATATATATATATATATATATATATATATATATATATATATATATATATATATATATATATATATATATATATATATATATATATATATATATATATATATGTTACGGGCAAAGTGCGAAGTTGGGCAATTCGCGAATTGCCTAGGCCATTCGCGAACTGCCGGCAATTCGCGAATGGCCTAGGCAAAGTCCGGTTTTTCACTTGGCCTAGGCAATTCGCGAATGGACTGACTTTGTGCTCACAGGCAAAGTGCGTAATTGGGCATTTCGCGAATTGCCCAGGCAAAGTGAGTAACTATATCACAAAAGTTTTCTACCGTGCTAAAATGAGTATATTCATTAACATTAGGACATTTGCTTATGGCTAAGTCTATCTGAGGCGGCCAGAAACTTGCTGTTCTGTAATTTTAGGGAATTTTCAAATAAATCTGATAGTACTAAGGTTCTCCTTCCGAACTCGTTGCCATTTATAGTGGGAGGGGGCTGGTGTGTAGTACTTACCATCGTCCCTCTTGTATCCTAATTTAAATAGGTGTGCAGACGTGCGAAAATGATTGTCCTTTGTGGGGCGCGCGGGGTGGCAAATAAATGCGATCGAAGATACATTTTTATGACTCATTTGAATTTTATTGGATCAAAAGTTTAATCATATGAGGTATCTGTATAACGCGAAAGTGTTTAGGTTAAGAGAGGTTGTGTACGCAGTTATCAAGTTCCGTAGCACGTGGTCTTTAAACTATTCGATAATTTCCGTCAAAAACAAAACCATGCCAAATCACAAACAACAGTCTGACTTTCTTACTATTTATTATTGCAGTGAGCGCCTTTATGGCAGCGACTGATACAAGTAACGCCCGCCTTGATGCACTTGCATCGGCCTTTACATACACCCCTCCTGCACTTGCAGGAAAACATCCCCTGACCCTTCCCCCCTGAGACCAGGCGAGCCAAGGCCCTATAGAAGGTACAGTCACTCCCCCGCCGACCAATCAGAGACAGATCATGAGTGACGTCACCCCTGATGCTCGAAAGGGGTACTCCATTCCTTTACAACGTAAAAATGACTAACTTCATTTGAAGATTGTTGGTCTAACACTCTACACACATCGCTCAACCATTGATGTCATTGGAAAGTCCAATTAATTTTCTAGCGATAAAAAAGAGCAGCAATATGCTAAGAAATGGCCGGTTTTGAAGATATAGACGATTTAAAAACCCTCTGCAGTTGCAGAAAAGCAACGTAAAAACGCATCGAGCTTATATTTTTACTATGAATAAATCATTTTTCAGTAAGTTTTTAAGTATGGTATCGATTTATTCAACAACTTAATTACAATATTTTTATTACTTGGAACTTTATTTCAAAATAATATTTTCAAAAATGGCAACTGTTGGCAAGTAGCTTTGAAGCGATTGTGGCGCGCCGCGCCATTATTATCCTGAGGCCCCCATATGATGTCATCAAAAGTGGAGTGACATGGGCCTGAGGCGAGCACATTCTCTAAGTGTGATCGAGATGTCGGGGACGTCGGAGGAGGAGATGAAGTGCCCGGCACACGGTTGTACTGCTTCTGGGCCGTAGACGCCGGACAGCTTCCCCTTCGTCGTGCCAATTATATACTGTGACTCGCCGACACACTGCGAACACGGTCATCTATGTCAACGAGCGATACAAAGTTTTTACAGCATCAGCAATTAATTTACTGCAGATAATATTGATATGATTTATAATTATTGCGACCAGTGCCAGACACCTACAGTTTCGATCTGTGTTAAAAACGTTTTGTTGTTGACATCAAATCTAATTGAACCGACAATGTCCTTTCAGCGCCTTATACACTTGAAATCATGATGAAAAATAACTAAGCAACTATTTTTACAGATATTAAATCGTTTCAACATTGAGAACAATATTCATATTGATTGAAAATCATATTATATACTTAATTCACAGTAAAAAGTTATCGAAATAAAAAATTGAAAATATAGCAATAGAAAGCGTGGCGAGAAAGAGCAACCAATAGTACAAGCAGCTGCAAAAAGAAAATTACTCCAGACTCACCTCCAATATCACTCCGATAACATTTTTCTGTTGCGTCCTCGCCCTGTCCACGTCGGGAATGCCAATGCGTACATTTTGACCCACAGATAGAATCTTCTTCGCCTGCCTTCCGAGCCAGCATGAGATTCGCCTGTTTTTTCTGAGATGCCGAGGCGATCTCCCGCTCTTCAAGTGCCCTCTTAGCACGAGAACACAGATCGCAAAAGCCGTCAGATGCAGGTGCCGGCCCATAACAGTGAGTGCAGCGCCTGCTTCTTAGTGTTCGCTTAACAGGCTGTGCAGCTACCGGTGACTGCTGCATGCCCTTGTTGCTGCCGGCTACCGCCACTGTGGGACCGCTCCTCCCTGGAGTGCAGCTAGCTGGCTCCTCGTCGCTGCTGCTGCTGCCGGCTACCGCCACTGTGGGACCGCTCCTCCCTGGAGTGCAGCTAGCTGGCTCCTCGTCGCTGCTGCTGCTGCCGGCTACCGCCACTGTGGGACCGCTCCTCCCTGGAGTGCAGCTAGCTGGCTCCTCGTCGCTGCTGCTGCTGCCGGCTACCGCCACTGTGGGACCGCTCCTCCCTGGAGTGCAGCTAGCTGGCTCCTCGTCGCTGCTGCTGCTGCCGGCTACCGCCACTGTGGGACCGCTCCTCCCTGGAGTGCAGCTAGCTGGCTCCTCGTCGCTGCTGCTGCTGCCGGCTACCGCCACTGTGGGACCGCTCCTCCCTGGAGTGCAGCTAGCTGGCTCCTCGTCGCTGCTGCTGCGCCGGCTACCGCCACTGTGGGACCGCTCCTCCCTGGAGTGCAGCTAGCTGGCTCCTCGTCGCTGCTGCTGCTGCTGCTGCTGCTGCTGCATACTACAGCACGACCGCTCCTTCTCCTCCCTGCATGGGCGCGGCCAGCCGGCTGCCAGTCGCTGCTGCTGCTGCTGCCCGATTGACTGTCCAGTCCTGCATCTGTGGCCGTCTGGCGACTTCCATCAGCCACCAGTCCCAGCATATCCGCCAGCTCCTGCTCAGTCCTCAACAGTCTGGCGGGCGCTCCTCTGAGCTGCGTGTCCCTCAGGCCCATGTGGGGCTCAACACCGAACATCGCTTTGTAGGGAGCAGTTCCAATCCCGTCGTTCTTCTGAAACAGTCAGAACATATTCAAGATATTAACAACAGAATGTTCACACAAAAATACGAGACTGTGCAGTTAAGCGTAACCAGCTAATACTTTACACTTCTCCCGCTTTGACTTAAATTACAGCTAATGATTGGAAATATTTTTTTTCTTCAAAACATATGTTTTAAACGAATGAGGAAAATTTCAAATGATATTTTTTGTAACTAATACAGATGAAGGCTATATACCTGCGTGTTTATCATCCACTGAACAAAGCGTAGTCCCTCGGGCCAATTACTTCCGGGTTATCGGCAAGCCAGCACCGAAGCTTTTCCTGAACCAGCCGATTCGCCCTTTCGACAGATCCCTGGAAACATTAAATGTGTCAATTTACCACATGCCGAGATATCCCTTTAACATTAGCACGTGATTTTGGGAAAAGCTTCCGGACCGCTCACGGCTAATGTTTAAGGTATTTGGGAAAAGGTTCTTGACCACGGTCATTTTGATTTTCCCAGACAATTTTTAAGAGAATATTCAAGATGAAAGTAGCAATTAACGGCATGTAGTAACTATCTTCCCACCCTTTGGGCTGGGAAAATGCTTAATTTATTCACCTCGAATTTTTTGCTACAGACCTCGTGCCTGCCGGCACTCGGTACTTCCGCAAAAAAACCTTGGTAAATAAAATGCATTTTCCCAGCCCCGGGCGGAAATAAATATTACTATATCCGTACATGAGAAAGTCAAGCATGCACATGGCGGCGAATATTACATGGTACAGTTTGCATTGACCTCTTTTAACTCTCGATTTATTTATTCATGTTCTTTCCACTTCTATTTATTTGCGCAGGCATTGATATTGAATAGTCACTTTTTGAGCAATCAAATAAGGGCGCTTGATAGCCTATTTGCGCTTTAGCGTCCGTCCATAAACCCCAGCACAAACATGCACACGATCAATTCAATATGAATATCTATTTTAAAGACTTCAAAAATCCATGTAGGAACAACAAGCTAATTCTATACCAAATCTAAATTCGTATATTGGTGAATAGCCAATCTGGCTTATACCTATCAATCGCTCACCTGGGACTGCGAATGGCGAGGTCGTCCACGAACGAGCTGGAGCGATGGCCACATGGCTGTGCACTGCTTTATTACTTTGTTGCGAAACTCGCGTCCGTTGTCGCTCTGAAACACATTTAGGTTTTCTGTTTTAACGAATTTTTAACGCAATCTTAGCCTTTATCTGAACTACTTTCATGTTTTTATTGCGATGTTTCACACAGTGGTTGTGCAGTTACCTTCATGAATCACGAGCGAATCATTGTAAAAGTGACTTAGAACAGTTCAAATTACCCTAATCTTGACCTTAGGTGAAAAGGTCATCAAAGGTAATCCTAGGTCAGGACCTCAGATGACCTCGGATGACCACGGATGACCTTGACACATGGCGGGTCAACTATAGTGTATTCATAGGCGCTGAGCTCGAATCTGACATCCATTCACCTCTAAGCAATCATCCTGACGCTCAAACTCGCAAAAAAAAACAGCTAATTGAAGCGACTAAATTGACCTAGAAGATGCTCCTAACAAGCGTGACCTTGCGTGACCTTGACCTTGAGTCAACTGTATGCGATGTCTAGACATCCATAAACACCAATAAACTCTCATAGAATGCATACTCATGCGCTGGGAAGCAAGAACGCGCACCATCGTGCGACAGATCGCAAAACCTGCCGATTTCGTCCAAACATGACCTGACATATGACGTCATGACTTGATGACCTGACATCGACTTGAAATTTCCACAGTACGTGTCAGATTGATCAACGCGAGGGTACTGTAAGTTTCGCGGCGATCCGCCGCGTTTTACGCGAGTTATTCGCGAAAAACCATGGGGGGGGGGGGGTCATCCGACCCCCCTACAAGTGCGAGGGTTAATCTGAAACTATGTATGTCTCTGGTTTTCTTCTAATCAAGTCAGTTATATCAACTCCAGCATCTGCTATAATGCGCAAAAGAACGACCAGTGCATGTTCGCTCATATCCAAGTAATTTTCTAAAGACTGAAGCGGCCAACCCCACCCTAATATCTTGGAGAGCCGTACATATTTTACGAATAAGCGCATGCTGGCTGCTGCTGCTGATGAGATGGAATATATTAAAACAACCGGTAATACATGATAGTATAGTACAGATGCAGACCATAGACAAAATGTAGGGTCTTAATGATGAAATTCCCTTAACATTCAATGAGGGTGAGATAAACTGTTTTTGCACTTAAAAACAGAGAAAAAATAAAAACAGAGAACGTTCATGATTGCTTTCACCTATATATCGGTAAAAAATACAATATGACAAAGCTACTTTACCTGCAAGATGTTTGGAGCCCCAAACAGGCAGAATATGTCGATGAGATGAAATACCACCTCTTCCGCCCTTTTTGATTTTAAGGCCGCAAAACGACAAACTTGGTTAGGTGGTCTTGATATGTTAAAATGTATCTGGATCCCTTTGAGCTTTCACTCGTCCAGTCTATTAGATCAACCTGGGCTCTGGAGTTCATGTCGTTGCTGAGAATAGGCTTAGTCACTACCTTCTGGCCAGGCCTAGGCTTTTTCTGCTCGCACGTTTGGCAAGTTGAGAGGAATGCCCAGACGACTTTTCTGCTGACGCTTGCATAGTGCTTTTGAACTTCCATAAGCGTCTTGTCTCTTCCGCAATGCCCAGCCAAAGAATGGAGTTCATTAATCACATCAAACAAATCTGATTCCCGCACGATTTCTTTTGCACTTTTCTTATCTACAACCTTTTCAATTGATCCGAACTTGACTAGCCTGTACTTCTGCCAGATGCGATAGCGTTTCGCGGTGCCCGACGGTTTTGCGCCTTTGCTGATTCCCTGCAGTTCTTCCTTTATAATCTCGTACTTTTCATCGGTAATCAAAGCAGAGTTTGAAGATATTTTGGTTTCGTGAACCAGTTTATAGAACTGTTCTTTTTGAGACATCTTTGCAGAAACGACGAACGGTCTACCTGCGAAAGATAGAGATGTATGCAAGATTACAATAACAAATTGACTTTATGAATTTAAAAAATATTGATAAATATATATAATATACAAAGAATGATAATTACGAGCGAGCGCGAAGTGCGAGCGAGTCCTTTGTGGTTTAGTGGAAAAATGTAAGTATTAGCAGCCCGACCCGGCCAAACGACGCTAATTGACAGCTTATAACTTTGCAACCACATGTCTGATTGACAAGTGGCTTTCATTGATGGGGAGCTACATCCCTTTGCCACGAATGGAGCATACCCCGAACCATGTGGGTACCAAATTTAGCACGTGGCACGTGCAGAGTGAGGGGTGTCGAAAAAAATACAATGCTACAGCCTTGGAACGTCTGCGCCGATAGTGTTGAAATTTGGCATGCTACTAGGTACTCATAGGCCTAACCCTCCACAAGAGTGAGAAGGGAGATTGTGCCGCGCGCGCGCACAGTGCGCACTCCACCTTCGATTTTCAATAACTGCAGCGTCTGTCATGGGCGTAGAAACGGCTAGAACATTGTGGGCGCATAGGTGCAGATTGCAGGAGTCTAGCCATAGCTGGTTGAGCGGGGGGGGGGGGTAGGAAGCGGCAATTGGATGTGATATACCGACTTTACCATTTTTAACCCGCACCCTATTTTCCCCTGAATATCAATAAGAAACAAACAAACAAACGAAAACGGTGAGCTTCACGCCGCTTTTTTTTTACAAAAAAAGCGGCAAAAATCGGTGACCAGATGACCTAAGGACAGGTCAATTTTGCATCCTCTCTTGTAGGTCAATGGAAGAAAATTAAAAGGTGTCTCTTTTTGAACGAACGTCATTCTCAATAATTTCAAACACCAAATTATACCTAAGTTAGCACGACACACAACAGAACCGAAAAATGGCACGTGTGACACCTCTTTTAGCAGCTGAGGTCATCTTTGGTGGGGAATTGTATCTAACTTTTTCGTAAATAACTTTTGGGAGAGGCATGATAGAGTAAAGTTTAAAACACCTTAGTTTTGTTCGGCTAGACGATATACAGATCGGCTGATATGCAACACGATCTTTAACCCGCGCCCCGCTGGGGGTCCTGGATTTCCACGCCCTGCTGGGGGAGTGTTTGAACACCCCCCCCCCCTTCTAACTCGGCTCCTGGGCCACGTAGCGATACCGGAAAGGCGGCGTTCGAAGAGCGTCAAAAATAAGGAAGAAATCACTTCGGTCACTTTTTTGTTCAGGTCAGAGGTCAGGTCACCAGAGGTCATTAACACGTCCCCTGGAGAGGGTCTGAGAATTACGCGCCCTCGAGGGGGGGCATATTCTGCCCCCTGCTATCTCGGCTCCCAGAAATGCTAGAAACACGAAACTTGGGGGGTGGGTAGGCCCGCATAAGAACTCTTTGTGGTGCAAATTTGGTGATCCTAGGTCAACATCTTCAAGGTCAAATGACGTCATCAATGCAAAATTTTCGCACTTTTTGGTCAAACGTGCAGCGCTTTGCTTTAGCCGGTCTCGCGCCCAAACTAAGACAGATAGCTTTGATCTGCAAAAAAGGTAAGATGCGCAATGAATTGGGCTATCTGAAGTAAGTCGTCAGATTTGACCTCAGGTCAACCGTTTAGGCGCTAGAGGTCAAAGTTCACATCAACGGAAGCGTCTTGTCACGAGTTTTCGTTTGCCGCCTCGCCCTTGTCGCTGCGGCTATTGGTTCTCGAGTTGTCGACTGGGGACGTTTACCCCCCCCCCCCCCCCAGCAAGTGGCGGGTGACGAAATATCCCAGCTGCTGCCGAGTGTGGAAATCCTGGACCTCCAACGGGGCGTTGGTTAAAATAACGGGCTAAAACCATCTGGAGTGGGTCATCATAAGGTATGTGTATATCACATGTGCTATGGCTTCTTCCACCTGAGCGGATATATGTAAGCTTTGAAGACCATCTTGCAGAGGGCAAAATATCCTATGTAGTTTCGTGGTACTCATGGGATTATTGGGAGTTAGTGTTGACGCGAAAAGGGGCTTTTGTTCCAGATTATTGTGGGTGCAGAATACATTGCCTGCACCCACTGCCAAATTATTGTGGGTGCAGCTGCACCCACTGCACCCATGGTTCCTACGCTTTTGGCGTCTGTAACTCGGTAACGGCTTGACCGATCGGGCTCAAATTTGGTATGTGGTTAGAAACCCACCGTCTCAGTGACTTCCAATTGTCACGAAAGAGGTGCCTCACCACTAATGCGCACGTGGGGAATATAAATTTTGCCATATGGTTTGCATGTTAAATTCACCTCGCTCGTTCCTCGCCATCCATGACGTCTTACTGGTATAAGTATGAACACAATTACAATATAAAGGAGTAACTTCATTTAAAAATAACCTACAATATAAATGAGTAATATGAGTAACCCCTACAGGCAGAGGGTTAAACAACCCTGCACGAACACATCCACACAGACAGTCGTTGGACCACTTACCTGACCTCTGCCACAGCGACCAGCGACCCTCCTGCGATCCAGCACAAAACAGAGTGAGCGGCCAGCCGACAAATCCGACCGAGGTCGGGTCGGTGGTGCCACTTGTAGAGATGCAACTTTTTCTCCAAAGCTATTACCGGCACCAAAACCGGCACCGTAGACGTGAAGAAAGTTCATTTCAGCAGCGCTATTACGAATTTTCGTTTCAAAAATGTTCTATCACACCAGGCAATTCGCGAATTGCCTAGGCCATTCGCGAATTGCCGGCAATGTGCAAAATGCCTAGGCCATTCGCGAATTGCCGGCAGTTCGCGAATGGCCTAGGCAATTCGCGAATTGCCCAACTTCGCACTTTGCCCTAACATATATATATATATATAATATATATATTATATATATATATATATATATAATATATTATATATATATATATATATATATATATATATAGATATATATAATATATATATATATTATATATATTATATATATATATATATATATATATAATATAATATATATATATATATATATATATATATAATATATATATATATATATACAGACAGGCCCCAGAGGGTTCGTAATTCGTATCATTCACCCTCAGAAATAAACGGTCCTCGTTTTTCGCCATTATTCCGGGATCCCCCCTGTGCTGCGATCCTGAACGTGCCGTGAATTCAAGATATAATTCCTAGGGGATGCCCCTTCCCCTCCCCCTCAGGGTTAACTTTCACCTCTCTGAATCCGCAGATGCGTACAGTCCATTGTTCTTAACCCGAGCCGGGCCGGAGGGTGTTAGGACCCTCCTCTGTGTTTTTCGCAGATATAGGTGTAAAATACGGTGGCGTTCCGCACCGCCGTTTTTGGCACATCGATTTACTCGTATGCATCTTTTCCGTACATGTCGTGAAAATTTCAGACCCAAGTCGCTCAAGGTCAGATTATCATGTCACGTCAAGTGACCGCCTCAAAAAGTTAGAATGCTTGTCATAGCTACACCGACTAAACGATCGCCATGAAACTTGCAGCGATTGATAAGATTAACAGTATAAACAAAATGTATATCTCGGAATTTTAACATCGGTGACCTAAGGTCAGGTCAGTTTTGCGCCTTTCCATGATAACTCCATGGGAAAACATTGAAAGGCGTCTCTTTTGGACGAACGCCATTCCAAACACTCAACTATCGATATGCAAGTAGGGGAGAGTGGGGAAAGATGCCCAGGGTTTTGCTATGTCATATATTATTCGAAAATGACGATCGAAAAGCAAAAACTTGGAGTTTCAACGGAAGCCGACATCATTTTCTCCAAAAATATCACACTTTCGTGCCTGAAATATGATAACTTTTTGCTATCAAGCATTTTCCCGAAGAAGTGAAAGGGGGCATCTTACCCCACAGGGTGGGAAAGACGCCCCCTGGCGTTGGGGAAGATGCCCCCCTGCACTATAAGTGACATAAATGGGCACGTGAATCGCCTGAACGAATCAGTAGTCCCTTCGAGCCTGCAGTAGACACCAAACGTCATCGTAAGAGGCCCTCAAAAGTAGTCGTAAGGGGCTTCAGAGGTCATCGCTTAGGGCCATCATAGTCCAACGCGGCCAAACAAGCCTCCGTGGTGGCGTTCGGAGACCACTGTGGGGCCCTTATAGGTCTTCATGATGCTTGAGGGCCCTCGAGCCCATCGTGGGACCTCAGATGCCAGCGCGGCCCGTGGAGGCAACGTGGGAGCCCTCAAAGGATGTCGTGAGGGGCCCTGGAGCCAATAATGGGGCCCACAGAGGCCGTCGTGCAAGGGCTCTCAGAGTCAGATGCCGCCCAAAAAGTCGCTATGTGGGCCGAGAGACCGGCATGGGGAGCTCCCGACCGTACTGGACTCTCAATAGTCCCAGATCGGCTTTTGTCTCTCATCACAAGTATGTAATAAATGATT